TTTTGGTGAATAAATTTACTTTAAAAAGAAAAAATTACTTAAAAAATAAAAAATCAAACACTAATCATAAACAAATCTCTTAATATTAAAATTTTTAAATATTTTTATTTTACCATTTAATATAATTTAAACAAGAAAATAACGATATTTTGGTGAATAAATTTACTTTAAAAAGAAAAAAAGAAAAAAAGAAAAAAAAATCAAACACTAATCATAAACAAATCTCTTAATATTAAAATTTTTAAATGTTTTTATTTTACCATTTAATATAATTTAAACAAGAAAATAACGATATTTTGGTGAATAAATTTACTTTAAAAAGAAAAAAAGAAAAAAAGAAAAGAAGATCTAACACTGGTGGGATAAGAGGGCACGTGGTCATAGTGGGAAGGGGTAGCCGAGGAAGTGGGGCCGACAAAAGTGAAGAGGCCACGCGTACGGTGTTTGATTATGGAAATCACAATTCACAAGATTGCGCGTTTACATAACGTCTATGCTAATTGGCAAATTGCTATGGTGTGTCAAGGTCAAGGTCAAGGTCACGGTCAAGGTGGAGCGCCAAGTCCGATGCAGTGCGTGCCTTGCTTTGTTTCAGCAACGCGTGCAGTCACGGGTGACGGGGCCCACCCATCATTTTTTGCGTCGACCCTTGCAGCCTGCTATTCCATTCCATCTGCCTTCCTGTACTTTTTTTCTTTGATCGGCATCTCTCTACAGGTTTTTTTTAATTACTAATTTTTTGATATATGATAATTATTTTTTTTTTCTTTGACCAGGTAGATGGTTAGGAAGTTAGTAGAGTTAGTTTGTTAACAGTTGAAATTTTTTCATGAAAGTGAACGTTCCACCCCTCATTTGAGGCGCGTGACCATTAGGTCGTAAGTTGATGGAGCTCACGGCGGTGGCAGACTTCCGCCTCACCCAAGCCCTAAAGCTTGCGGCCAACCAATGGACCACAGGCCCGATTGGTTGATAATTATATTAAATTTTAATTAATTTAAAATTAAATTATATCAAATTTTACGAACGGATATATTCTTTTAACGCTTATTTTTTTTATTTATAAAATTTAAATTTGATATTTATTTTAAAAAAATCAACATTTTTTTGTTCAGATCAATAAATTATTTATACATATGCCTACAGCTTCGTTGTACTAAACCGACCACAATCAATTTCTTTGCGGTGTTTTCCGAAAGAGCAATGAGTGTGGTTACTGCCGCATTAGAGTGACACAGAGACTGGTTTAAATGTGTAAATTGTTTTCTAATATTTTTGTGTTAAAAGTAAATTATCCTAAAAGGTGTAAATTATTATTTTAAAATTATATTTTTAAAAAATCAACTTAAATTTAGTAATTATTGTTAAATTTTATTAAGTTAACTATAATTGTTAAATTTAAATTAATTTTTTAAAAGTAAAAATTTAAGATGATAAATTATGTTAATAATTTTTGTGACATTTTATTTCAAAATGATAATTTTTGAATAAATTTGTATTTTTTTTAAATATTGATATTTTTTAAATAATTAATTATACATTAATTTTAATTTTTTAAAAGTAAAAATTTAAGATGATAAATTATGTTAATAATTTTTGTGACATTTTATTTCAAAATTATAATTTTAGAAGAAAATTTTATTTTTTTTATATATTGATATTTTTTTAAATAATTAATTATAAATTAATTTAAATTAAATTAAATAATAAATATCAGTTTTATTATTTATTAACTAACAATTATATTTATTTATTACTTTTAATAACTAAATAAAATAAAATCAATATATTAACAATTAATATTTAAAAAATTATATAATCCTAACATTGTAATGTGTGGATATAAGAATATAACTACAATTCATATATTAAATTATATGAAACAATAATAAATTAACTTGTGGACCAAATTGGCAAAGTTTCATATATTTGACTCTGTCTCACTTCCAAGGTCACACTTTTATAATATATGTATACTATACTCTAAAAGAAGGCTTTTTCCAAAAATAACGTAAATACTACCTTTAATAATTTACAAATATTGTCTTTTATTTATCAATTTACTTAAATACAAACTTAATATATTAACTTGTGTTTTAGTATAATAACTTATTAATTTGAGTAGAAAAAATTCAGTTTTTTTTAAATAAAGTTTTGTATTTAAATTTTATAAATAAAAAAATAAATATTAAAAGAATTTTCATCTTATAGGATTTAATTCGACTTAATTTTAAATTAATCAAAATATACCATAATTTCCAAATAAAGGAAGCTTTAGTGCAATAAAAAAATGTACTATTTTAAAAAATATGTAAATTTTTTTATCCTCTAATTATATATTTGTTTTGCTTATAAAAAAATTTAATATATGTTTTTAAAGCTTGTTTTGGTTTAGGAAAAAGTTTTCTTTTACTTAGATTTTGTAGAAGTATTTTTATACTTTTATACATTAATAACCTTAAAAAAAATTAAAATTGATACTTTTAGTCATTATTTTTTTAACTCAATTATTTATGATTAATTTTTTTTATAAAAATATTTCTCAACGTAAAACTCACTTAATATTTTTCTCAAACTTTTCTTAATTTTATTAAAAAAAAATTGACTTTCAACCATATATACGCGTTGTAGCATGTTGGCATGCATTAATGAAAAACACAGCCCAATTTTCACGAAAATAAGAATTACTACAAAAGTCCATCATCGTCCAAAAAAAGTAAAGTTAAATAAAGACCATTTTAATTTTTAAGTAATTAATCTAGTCCCTGCCGTATGCTAGCAAAATCCTCCTCGTCCTCCCCCTTTTTCCCTTTCTCCTCTGGGGTAGTTGGCGACTGGCCAGCTTCGGAAGCAAACAAGACGACTGTTAATTAAGCCTAAAAGCCGCAACTTTTTCTCACTTCCTTGGAACCAATCCTCAAAAACGCTGCACATATATAAGCCTTTAGGATGATCCCAGGTCTCCGGCAACGAGACGGTTAAGAGCTCACTGGAAACTGAGGCAGGTAGAGGAATACTAAAATGCTGGTGAACGGTGTTGGTAGGGAAGACTTAACGGGCTGCTCCGGTGGTGGCACGGTGGTGGTGGGGGTTAAGCTTGACTCGCAGAGCAGGGAGCTCTTGACATGGGCTTTGGTGAAGGTGGCGCAGCCTGGTGATTCTGTGGTTGCACTTCATGTTATCGACAACAATGGTCAGTAAAAAGTTTGCTCCTTTTTTGGGGTGGTTTGGGGTTTTATGTTATTTGCCTTTTGGGTTTGTTTTTCTTAGCGGTTTTGTGAAATGGATTAATTTGGCTTCTGTGTTTAGAAATTGTGGATCGAGATGGGAAGTCTTCGCTGCTATCGCTTGTCAAAGCGTTTGACTCTGTTCTTGCCGTCTATGAAGGTTTCTGCAACTTGAAACAGGTTTCTTTTCTTGCTTTTAGGCTCCCTCAAACGGGTTTTTGTTAATCTAGTGATTGCTTTCTGTTTGGTCTCTAAGAAAATGAAGGAGGATGGGAGATGGAAATTTGGGTTTAACGTGCTGAAAAAAAAGGCAAAAACTTTGTTCTAGTTAGGTATATTTGGGTTTAACGTGCCAAAAAAGGAGGCAAGAACCTTGTTCTACTTAGGTAAATTTGGGTCTAACGGGCCGAAGAAAGGCAAAAACTTTGTAAAGTTAGGTTGAATAGTTTAGTTGTATGAAGATTGAAAAAATGCAAAAATTCCATTAGAACTTTCTGTTTCCATTCTAGTACTTTCTTTGTTGCCAAACAGAATACTGACATGTCGGTGTGGGTGGTAAAATTGCAGGTGGATCTCAAGCTTAAGATGTGCAGAGGTTCCTCAATTAGAAAAATTTTAGTGAGAGAAGCTAAATCTTATTCTGCAAACAAGTTTATTATTGGAACTGCCACTAAGTACCATAAAATCCTGTCTTCGACCTCCACTGCTAAGTACTGTGCTAAGAAACTGCCAAAGACTTGCTGGATTCTTGCCGTGAATAATGGGAAAATTGTGTACCAGAGAGAGTGCTCTCCAGTGGCTGGTACTTTTGGCTCAGAAGGTTTGTAACTTTATGTTGCTGGTTATTCTGTTATATATATGAATTGATAAGGGTTTAGTAAAATGTTCTGTTTCTGAATTGTTGCAGGAACTGAAGATCGTCGGAGGAATGGTTTGTTTAATGCAATTCATCGTAGGATAACATTGACCAAGAATTCTAGAGTACTGAACTCAGGAAATGCCATTAGAGCCCCAAAGTTGGATTGTAATACTAGTAATGACCAGAATTTGGATCAGGCGTTAGTTAAGGCTGCTTCTGATTCTATGGAGGGTGCTATGAAACAGAACTGCTTAATTTGTGGAGCTGGTACTGCATTGCTGGATAATTTTTCTGACAAATCTGCAAAAGAGTCTCCTGGTGATGATACTGGTGGAGACAATCCTCTGGCTATAGTGCCAGTACCGAAGGCAGGGGCAGCATCAAGTTCAATCTCTATGATGATCAGACAGTTGCCTGAAGTTAGACCTGGTTGGCCCTTACTTTGTCGTCCGGTTTCATCTGACAGACGAGTTCCTGATCAGTCTAGGAAGATCTCTGTGGTTCAGTGGGTGATGCGGTTTCCCCCCAGGCTTACTTTCTACATTTCCAATTCAGATCATAAAAAAGATTGTCATGACCAGAGTGAAGATAAGCCCCACAATGTTGATCAAGAAGGTGGTGCAATTGTTCCAGTTGGTACTGAGGTCACCTCTCAACCTTCACCTGATCACAGTTCAAGAAGCCTGCCAGAGGAATTGAAGGGTCTTCATGAGAAATACTCAGCAACTTGTAGATTATTTAAATACCAAGAGCTCCTCTCTGCAACTTCCAGTTTCTTGGCTGGTTTGTATCATTCCTCCTAATATTCATGTATGCAATAATTTAGTTTTGGTCTCTTTTTGGGATTTAACTTTGACAATTTTTTCCCTTGCAATTTCCAGAAAATTTGATTGGGAAAGGAGGCAGCAGTCAGGTTTATAGGGGTTGTCTTCCGGATGGCAAGGAACTTGCTGTGAAGATCCTAAAGCCTTCTGATAATGTATTGAAGGAGTTTGTCTTGGAAATTGAGATTATTACCACATTGCATCACAAGAACATAATCTCCCTTCTGGGTTTCTGCTGTGAGGATGGCAATCTTCTCTTGGTTTATGATTTCTTATTGAGAGGAAGCCTTGAAGAGAACCTTCATGGTTAGTAAATACTTATGCACACTTGATTTTAAAATCAAGGAGAAACTAGAGATTTTTGTGCTGATTAATTTCTGGAATTATTTTCTAAAGTTTTTGCTACCTATTTCTGATGCAAACTAACTTAGGTAATAAGAAGGACCCTAAGTCATTTGGTTGGAGCGAAAGATATAGGGTGGCACTTGGAGTAGCTGAGGCTTTGGATTATCTGCATAATAGGAGTGATCGGCCTGTGATCCATCGGGATGTTAAATCATCAAATATACTACTATGTGATGATTTTGAGCCACAGGTAGCTTTTCTCTTGACTTTTAATGCTTTTGCCTTTCAAATTTGCGAGCTTCCTGCCATAGACCGTAAATGTTCATGGTGTTTTTACTCTGACTTCAGCTCTCTGATTTTGGACTTGCTAAATGGGCATCTACCTCCTCAACACATATGACCTGCACAGATGTTGCAGGAACTTTTGGGTATGTAATTTTTAGTTCTAGTGATCCAGCTTTATGACCCCTTTGTTCTTAGACGAGAAAAACAATTCCAAGAGATTATTTGAAAAAGAGCATCAATTATTTGATGGTGTCTGCAGCTACTTGGCTCCTGAATACTTCATGTATGGCAAAGTGAATGACAAGATTGATGTTTATGCATTTGGTGTTGTACTGCTTGAGCTTCTTTCTGGAAGAAAGCCCATAGGAAACAACTATCCCAAAGGCCAAGAGAGTCTGGTCATGTGGGTATGTCTTCTTACTTACTCAACTTTTCTGCACCAATGTACTGCATGATGTTGTCTCTAACTGAAACAAATGAATCACCTTCCGCAGGCAAAACCAGTTTTAAGTGGAGGGAAGATTTCCCAATTATTAGATCCAAGCTTGGGTGAAAATTATGACCATGACCAGATGGAGAGGATGGTCTTAGCTGCCACTCTCTGTATCAGGCGTGCTCCACGAGCCAGGCCTCAAATGAGCCGGGTAAGTCATCTTTGATCTTTCTAATCCTCTACCTCATTAAGAGGGTACCTTAACCTGAATTATGCTTCCTGTATTGAATCCTACATCGACCAGCATCCCTTTGGTGGTAGTACTAAGTACTAACCTCTTAGCATTCAAGATCCTCTTGTTTGAAGTGGATGCATTTACATTATTTAGCCTTTTCGCTCTAAAACAAGACAATTCATCTTGTTTTTGTTCTGATTGATCAAAGGTCTCTAAGCTCCTCCAAGGCGATGCTGATGTAACTAAATGGGCAAGGCTGCAAGTCAATGCTTCAGAAGGATCAGACATGCTGGATGATGAACCTTGTCCACGGTCTAATCTCCAATCCCATCTTAACCTCGCATTGCTTGACGTGGAGGATGATTCACTCTCCGTTAGCAGCATTGAACAATGCATATCATTAGAGGACTACCTGCAAGGCAGATGGAGCCGCTCATCAAGCTTTGACTAACCACATTATTTGTGTCTCTATGATTTCTTTATCTTTTGTACATTTTGTTACCCTAGGGTGTTGGAAGAGAGGTTGTTCGCTTTGTGTGCCCGCCTTCTTCCCTTTCTAATCATGTCAGTGTTCTGTTCATGTGAGAAAAAATTGTGTTGTAATTCTGAATTATCGTCATAAAAGTCTGTAAATATAATCATTGCTCTAAAGTTGCCCACAGCAGGCAAACATAAGAGCAATTTTGTTTAAGTGATTTATTATCAAATTCAGAAAAATTAGGGGACTTCTTTAAGTGTATGTTTAATTTGAAGGAAATAAAGAAGGAGACAATGACACTTTGAATTAATTAAATTAAAATATTATTAAATATTATAGTATTTTTCGGTTAATTTTATTTAATTTAATTTTTTTAACCATTTGATCCACTTCTTGACAATTGAAGTTAAATATCTTGAAGTTGAGCCTTAAAGTGGATGGAAAGATTACATTGAAAACGTTAAATTTGAATTCTAAGACGGATGAAAAAAATTAAGAATAAGATATTAAAGTTAAGTTAAATATTCAATTTGGTTTTTGAATTATTGTACGGACCTTTAATTTGGTTTTTAAACTAAAAAAATCTTTGATTTGGTCTTTAAATTATTGTACAGATCTTCAATTTGGTCTTTATTGTTTATCAATTTACCTCAAATTGATCATTTCATACAACAACTAATTGATGTGTTTTGTTATTAATGTGACATGTGGTCGTTAAGTTATTGTTTTCGTCATTAATTCACACACGTCAACTTTTTTTGTACGAAAGGACCAACTTGGGGCAAATTGGTAAATAATAGGGACCAAATTAGAGGTCCGTACAATAGTTTATGGACCAAATCAGGGATTTTTTTAGTTCAAAAACCAAATCGAGGATTCGTACAATAGTTTAGGGATCAAATTGAGGATTTAACCTTAAAGTTACAATAAGTGAAAGGGGCCAAAGGATGTTAGAGTATCTTTTGTTGAATGGTGTATCATCTTTTTTTAATTGCTTCATGACCTAAAACTTTTTGGGGAATGCTTGAACTACTCTAGTATGTGAAAACGATGAGAAAGTGTCTTTGAGAAAACATTTCAATGCTTAAGTTAACAATAACCACTTGTTTTAGAAATAAAAGCTTTTATGGAACTAGATATTGCA